TTTTTTTTTTTTCACGCCGAGGAGCTGACGTAGCCATTCGGCTGTACAGGAAGCAATTCGTCGTGGGCAACGCCGCACACCGTCCACTCCTACTTCCGTAATGTTGAGCTATGGGGCAGCGCTAATAGCAGCGCTTCCTCCGTGAAGCTGGACTCGTCTGCATCGCGCATCGACAGATGGATCGTGCTCTTGCTGAGTGTAGTGGCTGGGGTCATGGGTGTGCTTATTTGATTTGTACGATGCGCAAGGGAGTGAATATGATGCATGTGAATGGTGACCGTAACACTTGTAGCGTGATAAGTATTTTGGCTACGGTCAGCAAGTCAGACTAAAAGCGTGTGTGTCGGCCGTTCGCCACCGCGAGCACTCAGCAAGGTTGAGCAAAGCAAGTTCGATCGAAACTCGCAGCCAATGAGAGGCAGGCGAATGCGTGGTCCCGTGCAGAGACCGTCAGCCGAGCAGCTCGGGGACGGGTCGCAGGCAGAAACACGATCCACCCAAATGGCATCAGCATCCTCCTCCCCCTCGTCCCACACTCCAGCCCGTCTTCACCATTGTCCTATATTGCGTTCTGGCGGGCTCATAGCTCTTTTCCCGCAGACATGGCCCACATACCACGAACAAGTGCCCTCACGCGCTCTCTGACACGTTCACTTGCATCTCTGAACCATGCTCCTCCGGCAGGAAAGAGGTGCGCTCCTTTGTATCTCTGCATGCGGCGGTCACTGACTATGGATTTAGTCCTACAGGTATGCTACACATGAAATCAGACTTGATGTCCGTAGTGACCAGCGGTCATAGCAATCGTCATGCTGAACATGGGCGGCCCGTCTACGGTGCGTTCCGTCTCGGTCTCCCTCTTTCGCTGCTCAAAACTCTGCCTGTAAAGGTCCCAGAGACATATGATTTCCTCCGCAACCTCTTTTCTGATGGCGACCTCATCCCGCTGCCTTTTCAATCCGTCCTTGCGCCGTTAATTGCCCGCCGGCGCACTCCCCAAATCGAACAGCAGTACACCGACATTGGTGGAGGATCCCCTATCCTCCGCTACACCAACATCCAGGGCGAGCGCATGGCGGCGCTTCTCGACGAGCTGAGCCCTGAGACCGCGCCGCACAAACACTACGTCGCGTTCCGATATGCGCGTCCACTGACGGATGAGACGGCGCGACAGATGAAGGAGGACGGGGTGAAGCGTGCAGTCGCGTTCACGCAGTATCCCCAGTACAGCTGCAGCACGACAGGGAGTAGCCTGAACGAGCTGTACAGGAGAGGTAAGGCTGGCGAAGTCGGTGACGTAGAATGGAGCGTAATTGACCGGTGGGGAACACATTCCGGCTTCGTCGAGGTCAGTCCGCGTGCATTCTCGACAAGACCATGCCAAGTAAGATTGCTTTCAGGCTGTCGCGCAAAACATTGAGCGCGCACTTGCAAAGTTCCCCGAGTCGACGCGCTCGGATGTGGTGCTGCTCTTTTCTGCTCACTCGCTCCCCATGTCTGTCGTGAACCGCGGCGACCCGTACGTTCTCGAGGTATCAGCGTCTGTGTCGGCGGTGATGGACCGGCTTGGACATTCGAATCCTTACCGCCTGGTGTGGCAGTCGCAGGTGGGGCCGTCGGCGTGGATGGGTATGCAGACAGGCGAGGCGTTGAAGGGGCTCGCGCGTCTGGGGCGCAAGCAGGTGGTCCTGGTGCCGATTGCGTTCACGAGCGATCACATCGAGACGTTGTACGAGCTGGACCTGGAGTACGCGAAGGAGGCAAAAGAGGTGCGGATCGCCGATGGCGCGCGGTGTTCTCTCTGGGTGACCATTGCTGATTGACGCTGTAGCACGGTGTGGACGTGCACCGAGCGGAGTCGCTCAACGACTCGCCTGTGTTCATCCGCGCGCTGGCCGACCTCGCCGCGGCACATCTGAAGGAGGTTTCGTTGGGCCGGGCGGGATACGCAAGCACGCAGATGGGGTTGCGTTGTCCGGGCTGCACGAACGCGACGTGCGGGCAGCAGAAAGCTTGGTTCGCGCGTGGGGGGCGGTAGGACAGATCGGAGCTGGGTGGTGATACGTACACGAAATGATATTGGTTCTCTTCTCATCTTGTGCGGCTGAGTGCGGACGGCTGAGTGTGTGAATGGCGTGAAGCCGTCCGAGGCGTCTTGGGCCTGTGCACTGCCCAAGGCGATCACGGAGGAAAACAGGACGGCGCTGGTTCGTCCGGTCGCGTCGCGAGATTATGGCAGAATGGTTCGATAGAGTCACGCCCGCTCGCCCTTGGCTGCAGCGTAGTACCAGAAGGCCCATCCCCAGATATATACTCCAAGTCCTTGCTCCATCGAGCGTGCAGCCTGCCGCCAGCCAGCCCGGCTTGCTCTCCCACCACGATGTCCTCCACCATCGCCTCCTCGCCTGGAAAGGTCCTCCTCGCCGGGGGCTATCTCGTCCTCGATCCCGTCTATTCCGGAGTCGTCGTCTCCACCAGTGCCCGCTTTTACACCGCCGTCAAGGACCTAGACGAGGCCGAGACAATAGCGCGTGCAAGGGCCGGCCGCCCTGTCCAGATACGCGTCCGCTCGCCTCAGTTCGTCGACGCCACCTGGCTCTACTTTGTCTCCTTCGACGTCGATGGCGTCCGTGTCGAGCAGGTCGCAGACAAGTAAGCATGCGCCGTCCACTCCCCTCGCACGACCGTGCTCCTACTCTCCCACAGCGCGTCTACGTCGTCGAGCAAGAACAAGTTCGTCCACCTCGCTCTCCAGCGCACCCTCGCCCTCGCCCACCAGGTTTTAGGCGAGGGCACGCTCCAGAACAAGCTTGCGTACGGTCTCGACATTACGATCGTCGGCGATAATGACTTTTACTCGCAGCGAGCACAGGTCATTGCCCGTCCTTGAACTCCCATTCTGCTCCTGCTCACCCATTGTGCTTACATGCCTCGCGCAACCACCAGCTAGCCTCGAAGAACCTCCCTCCCACTCTCGCCTCCCTCGCACAGCTCCCCCCCTTCAGCACGACGGGTGTCCGTCTGCCCGAGGTCCACAAGACCGGTCTCGGGTCCTCCGCGGCCCTCATCACCTCACTCGTCTCTAGCCTGCTCGTACACGTTGGCGCCATCCCGCGTGACTCCTTTGAGAACGATACCGAGGGGGGTAAGGAAACCGCGAGCGCAGGCCGTCGCCTGGCGCATAATCTCGCCCAGTACGTGCACTGTCTCGCACAGGGCAAGGTCGGCAGCGGGTTCGACGTGTCTGCTGCGGTCTTTGGCAGCCAGATCTACACCCGCTTCGATCCTGCCGTGCTGCAGCCGCTCATGGCCGACGATAGCGTGAGCCCAATCCGTCTTACCCCCGTTGAGCCGAAACTCATTCAGCATGTTCAGGCGACGGGTCCCCCACCCCTCCCGCACATCTCGCATGAAAATCCTGCGTGGGACTATCGCGTCGAGCCGTTCAGGTTGCCTCCACTTACGCGATTGATGTTGGCGGACGTGGATGCTGGTAGTGACACACCGTCGCTTGTTGGCAAGGTATTGAAGTGGCGCAAGGAAGATAGTGTGACAGGTGAAAGATCTGCTCGGGCCCCCACCGTGCACCTTTCTCACTGACACGGGCATCCTAGCGAACGCACTGTGGGATGCGCTGAATAACGTCAATCGCGCGCTCAGCGCCGCGTTGCTGAAACTGGCGAAGATGTACGAGCAGAACACAGCTGCGTATGTGAAGGCGGTGAAATATCTGTCGACGCTGCAGACCGTGCAGGTGCGTTGGTTGCCACTTTGCTATAAGCTCGTCCTTGCTCCCACTTATCGCTGGCACATTAGTGGCTGGCAATCAACCCAAATCTCGCGCCGGCAGATCAGGAAATCATGGAGGCGTTCGCGGAAGTCCACCAACTGTCTGAGGCGAGTGTGCTGGCCATTTCGCGTGTTGTGAGAAGATGTCACCGAAGCTCACTCTAACGGACAGGACATTCGCGCAAAGATGCGCGAGATGGGCAATTTGTCTGGCGTGCCAATCGAGCCACCAGAACAGACGAAATTGCTCGACGGATGCGTCGCTGGCGCCGGAGTCATTGGGGGTGGTGTGCCAGGAGGTGGGCAATGGGTACAACTTGGATTTCTGCTCGCTCGCTGATCGAACATATTCTCTTCCGATTCCAGCGGGCGGTTATGACGCGATCTGGCTGCTAGTCCTCGATCCCCTCAACTGCCCTCCTGCCGAGCTGCCTTCTAGTCGGGTCGAACGCGCCTGGACAAACTGGAAAGGTCTCGACGTGTCTCCACTCTCCGCGTCCGAGAGTGTCGCAAAAGGCGTGCGGCTTGAAGAAGCAGCACAAGTGCCCGGATTGCAGGCACTCATCGACGCACCTTGGTGAGCATGTGCGAGTAATAGATGAAATTAGGAGATGTACAAGTATAATCGCGCGGGATTCTCATGTCCATGGGTAAATAGCAAGTCCGTACCTAGCTATATCGTCACAAGTAGTCCTGGATTCGATGCTCTATCTTCTTTCTCTGGTCTATACATGTATGCCAATGTAGATGCTACAATGCCAAGCGAGTGCTAGATAGCGTGGACGAATTATTGATGTAAGACTCGCCCGGCCTTCACGCGCATATTCGAGCGCCGCCTTCGGGTGTCCAGACCTTGCCAAGTGCGAGGAAGAGCGAAATGGCCAGGACGACAGTGCCAAAAGCGACGCAAATGACCGCGGGAAGTTTACTGCGTGAGTACCACGACGGACCAAGGTCTGCCAGACGAAGATAACACGCGGCGGGGAATATGAACGCCAGTGCTGTAGCCGACGCACCGCCTGTAATTTCTAACATCACACCGAGGTCGCAAGTAATGAGCGCAACTTTGAGTGTATAAGTCAGATGAGGTGCACGCGGTAATCTAAGACAGACGTACTGATCATTGAAGAGCAAAGTATAACTGTGGTGAAGAAGACATGTCGCTGCATGTTGAATGGTTCATGTGGGAAGAAAAATTGCTCAATGACCTGGTTGTGCTTGTCTTTAGAAGGCCTGTGCATCAAACATAAACATACGACACATACCTCTCTGCACACGAACAGTTCAAGCGGTAGAGTGGTGAACATGTTCAATCCAAAACAAAACCTCGCAACGTTGATCACTGTGTCGTTCTACAAGTCAAATATAGCTCAGCACACGAATCGGATGCAGGAAGATGTGGACAAGCATTCTTACCCCTGCAAAGTTGTTCAAGATATTTCCCTGTGTTTTGTCAGTGAAAACCAGGTATCCTGATATAGCTAGCGTGCAACATGCTACCAGCGACATGGCAGTGGAAATATGAGTGACTTTTGCGAATCGATCGAGTGTTGGCGTTTTAAGGCTCCCGTAAATAAGCAGGGAATTGTGATGGCAGACAAACGCAAAACTGATGACACCGATCGCCTGGAAAAATCCCGGGCCCAATATCGTGAACCTTTTGGAAGGATCGCCTTTGAGTTCGGGTGAAACGCGCTGGCTTTCGGCGAGAACAGCTGCGACGATCGTAACCATACCAATGAGCGCTAGGAAAGATGCTCGCGCGAGTTTGTCGATGGAACGATGTAAGGAGAGAGGATAGGATATGCAGATGGTACATAGCGCGATGACGAATTGGCGCTTCGTCAGAAGGGAAAGCACAGGGATAGTATATAATGTGGGAAAGACCGAGCGGATAACGTGTGGAATGGTGTCGCCTAGATATAGACGTCGGTTCCAAGTGATATTTATAATGACGTTACGACGTACCAATGATGATACCAAAGGCGCACATGCCTAAATCCTAGTGAATATCATGAGAGGAAAATCACACGTCTAACTCACCTCCAAACGCAAATGCGAATTGGAAAAATGACACTGCAGCACGGCCACTGGATCCAAAGCAGTGATGCATAACCTCGATGTACGAATTTCGACCGCTGAGCTTTGCGTTAATGACAATGAGGCGAATGGTCCAGTCCGTCACGGCGCACAACACAACGAGTAATACAATCCCCGTAAAGAACCCGGCTTGTCGCACTGCATACGGAAGACCTATTCACGGAGCATAATTCAGCATTAGCAAAATAATAAAGGAAAGGAATTACCGATGATCCCTGAGAGAGCTATATTAGTATTATGGGCATTGTTAAAATAATCGCTTTACCTGCGCCTAAGATTGAATTCGCCATGTTGGCAACGGAATCAAATACTCCACCCCCAGCAAGCCTCTTGGCTGCGAGTTCCTCCAGATCCACATCCTCATTTGCATCTCCACCACGTTGTTGAAGCTGCAGGGACCCATCAACACTCCTGCGCGCAGTGGCAGAATCGAGCAGGCCAACGAGTAAAGGCACAGTCTGGTCACGGTTGCGGTTAGATCGAGATGATCTCAGCTGCTGTGCGGCCTCCAGCTGTGCGAGGGCTTCTCCGTCGAGATCATCAGTGTCCAGCTCATATTCTGGGGAAACCAAATTGAATACAGGTTAGTGCGAAGAGAGAACGCTTCCGACTCACGCACCGGCTTCGCGGCTCTCGAAGGTCGACCTAAGCGGTGGGCCGATCACCTGAACGTCCTCCTGAAATCGTACAGAATGTCCACTCTTAGGTGTCTGTGAGCTGGCAATGTCCACCAGGGAGGACTCTTCCGTGTTGTCGTCGTCGTCGTCTACGGAAAATAAAACGTCGGTTGACGAGTGGTCTTCCTCCGAGTGACCCAGGAGAGGCTGCGAGGCAGCCTCCTCCCTGTCACTATCTCGCTGCCTGCTCCTGCCGAGCATCGTCTCCTGGAACCATAGACGAGGCCGACGGGCGGCGTTTGAACGTTAACAAATCCTGTTGTCTTGGGCAAGCTAGTTCAGTTAGTAAAGTACGACGAGCCGGATGCATGACACCTTGCTCACCTACCGGCCGTAATAATGAGTGGCTGTCGCTTCCCGACAAGCGAACAAGAGACAGCGGCACCTGACACTTAAAATTTGTATGTGAGACAGAGGGGGAGGATATGACAAGTAGGTGGCGTTAACCGTGCAGCACAGCGTACGAACACGAACACACACTGGCAGCGTGTGAGGCCAGCGCCAGTAGTCGCACAGGCGCCGAGCTCGCACTTCGCTCTATGGACTGAGTTGGACTCAACCACCTGGCTGTATCAAATTATTTCAGCATGCCCAGGTTGTCCTTGCCATTCTCAAAGGCAGTATTCAAATACAACAACTATGGGATCTGACGATCTGGTTTATCGGTGGCTATCTCAGGCTTTTTGGGCTGGAGAAGAACTACGTATCTACAGCTGATAATTCTGATACCAACGTTTATCTGACCTATAGTCGCGAGCTTCGCCGCTCTTTCGTAGAACATTTACTAGGACTCGGGGCGATAGTGAACACTGAAAATGTGGCCCATGATATAATGACACTTCAGCTGTCGCTGGTTCACTGGGACCTTCAGCATCGAATTCCAAATTCTGGGCAACTCCTGACAATATTTCAGATGTTTGTGGTAGGCATCGTATACTTTGATGTGCTGACGGCGTGTCTGGCCAAATTTTTGGTGAATTACGACCTTGAGGCTTGTCCTTGCACCGGTACATCCCCCAGGGACCAACTTGGGGCTGACGAAACACGCCATTGCCTGTAAGAATGGGGTCGGAGCACAGCAGTCTCCCGTACGCAGCCCTTCAACGACGATTTCTGGAGCATAACGAGGACCGGAGGTTGCTTCGGTTGTTTCGATCAACGATCGTTCGCTGCAGGATTGGTGTGTTGCGGGCCGCGGGCTGACAGAAGCTCGAGGTCCTGGGAGTGATGTACCATTTTATGGCCTCATCCAAATGACATCTGAGGTACATGGTATGGCGTGACAGCCTTGGTTCGCCAACAAATTGATAGTCTGATAAATGTTCTGTACTTGCATGTACTCTCCAGACGCCGGATTCGCTCATTATGTCTCTCTATTCTGCGGGCCTTCGTTATGATTTCCTGCTAGGTGCGTTTGACTACAAATTTCCCGGGGAGAAGAGCTCCAGATCTCAAGCTTCGTTTCCTACAGTCATGTCGCTATCTATCACGCAATTGCGGGGCTTTCTTTCGTGATGCATTTCACCATATAATGAAGCCTTTGATGATGTTCCGTTACCATGCTGCAACATGGGTGCTTATACATGTACTTCCCCTGGCGTGTTTTCTTTAAGGAGATCCCTTCGAGGTTCGGGTGAGCTTCTCCCTTCATCCGCCATCTCCTCCGCCGCTCGCTTTGGCAATCAAACGCCTGCGAAGGATTCTGGTTTCTCGGAACATGGCTACTGCTAGCCGAGAGACTACTTCTGTCCAAGGGTCCCTCTCCGACAAGGAGTCTGTCGTACCTCACGAAAAGGCGCGGCTAGGGCGGACGCTCGAGGAGAATGGTACCACCGAGGCCGAACGGAGGCTCGTCCGGAAACTCGATGCACGACTGTTACCAGTCCTAACCCTGCTTTACCTGCTTTCCTTCCTCGATCGCTCTAACATTGGAAATGCAAAGCTTGATGGACTGACCACGGATCTGAAGATGACCTCAGCCGACTACTTAAACGCTCTGACCTTGGTATGATCGCCGTATTGACGGCCCCTTGTTGTTACGATGCTAATCTCAATATAGTACTTCCTCGGTTACGTGCTGTTCGAGATCCCGAGTAATATCGTCCTCAAACGCCTGACGCCGAAGTTATGGCTCCCTACGTTGATGGTCGCTTGGGGTATCGTGTCTACCCTTATGGGTGTGGTCAAGAACTATGGTGGTTTGCTAGCCGTGGTAAGTACGCGTGGCTAATTGCTGATATACCATGTCTGTTTATGAATATTTGAATGTCGCAGAGATTCTTCCTTGGTGCAACAGAAGCTGGGTTGTTCCCGGGCGTTGTATACTATTTGTCCTGCTGGTACAAGAGGAAAGAGCAACACTACCGAATCTCCATTTTCTTCAGTGCTGCAAGTCTTGCGGGTGAGTCCTGAGCTTCGTACACAACACCCAAGCTTGAGCTGAGACCAAGACCGAAGGCGCATTTGGTGGCGTTTTGGCATTTGGTATCGGTAAGATGGCAGGTGTGGGCAACAAGCCGGGATGGGCCTGGATATTCATTATTGAGGTAATGTCGTGAATTTGTTCTAGCCGGTGCAAGGTCCTACAACTTTCCGCATCTCCACAGGGATTGGCCACCATTGTGATCGCGTCGATCTCGTACTTCTTCGTCCACAATTACCCGGATACAGTATCATTCCTGAACGAAGAAGAAAAGCAGCTACTTCACGACCGTCTCCGCGCCGATACGGACGCGCTTAGTGGGGAACAATTCAAGTGGTTTTACGTCAAGAAAGCGTTCCAGGACGTTTCCGTCTGGCTGTACTGCTTCTGTTTCGTAGGTTGCTCGCTCCCGCTGTATACACTTTCGCTTTTCCTGGTACGATTCTGTCCTCTCCACGTTCCCATCATTCTCTAAGCAGCGGAGCCCATTTCAGCCAACTATTATCAGCGACCTGGGATACGCGGCAGCAGAGGCACAGCTCCTTACAGTACCCCCATACTTCGTCGCGACCGTCCTAACCTTCCTCACCGCGTGGGGCTCGTACCGCGTCAACCGCCGCGCGCCGTTCATCATCGGTGGCTCGGTGCTGGCCATCATCGGCTACATCATCCTGCTCACCTCGTCTCGCGCAGGCGTGCAGTACTTCGCCACGTTCCTCTGCACGGGGGGCGTGTACCCCGC